AACTTAACGCCGTCACGGTTTTCACATATTTGCTTAGATCACTGTCATGGAACACGTTTCAATCTCTATTACAGATTAGACTGGTCAATGCTTTCAACATCAAATGAACTGGGAATAACATCACGCCGACTGCGCCAAATAAAAGTTCGCTGACTGTACCGCTATACGCTGTATGAAGCGAAGGATACGATAATTAGAAGTACCCAGAGGCACCAAATACCTAATGCTGAAACAATCAGGATCAATTGTCTAACAATGCGCAATAAGTCAGGCGTAAAATTATGTGGGAAACAAAAGCAGGTCAGTGAGTCGAAAATTTATTAACAGTTTTAGGACATGTACGTCATCATCTTATATGAACACAAGCTACTGACTGTTAAAAGACGGGATAATGCTGTGATGAAATTTCTCCACAAAAGAATCAATAACTCGGCGACTGCAAACAGGGATTATGTGCAGGTTGCCAACGAGAGTGCTGTAATACGCCTGTAGGTGCCTTGGCTTGGGTTTCAGGACGAGAGTGTAGACTGTTTTCGCCGGACTTAAGCTTCTTTGAATAGTTTGCACGCTAGGTAAAGTTGATCTACGTTATTGCACCATCGTTGGATGATCAAAATGGTAAGAAACAAAGTCTGCGAAGACGATGACGTTCTCATCGTCCATAGGATCTAGCCACGTTTCTTGTAAACGAAGGATGCAATTTTTAATGAACGTCGGCTTGGTGAGAAGCGTCCTGAGCTAATAAAACTACGGTAGGATTGCACCGAAATTGTTGAAAATTATTGGTAGAAAATGCCTACTTTTGGCGGGTGTTTTTTGCAACAGTTTGCCATCCGCCGCTTCTACTACGTCTGGTTTCCGCACACTTCCAAAGTTTGCCACTGTCAGAAACGAACCAACAGGAAATTTACAGATATATTTAAATATAGTCATGTTTATATGGAAGCGCTTATTACTACATATAATTATACAACCGACTAACGACATAGTTTGGGCCCATTTATCGAATGCCTTCACAATGGAAGGCGAAGAATGATCTGTTGCAACTGTATCAAGGTAGAGGGAGGTTCTTGGGATTTTTCTCTGCCAAAGCTCAGATGAGGGTGCAGACGAGGGTGGGGTTCAAGAATGTTGACACATTATCTGGACTGCTGCCTCATCAATCAGAAAGAATAAGTGAATGACTGATTATTTGACTAGTCACATAGTTCTGCAGTTGCATATAGAGAAGTTACAATAAAAGTATGAATGCACAGTAGCAATAACTGATCAAATCAGCCAAGTAAGACAGTCAATTTACCAGAAAGGTCCGGACATCGATCGCTTGCTGGCTTTGACTTTCTGAAGTCACGCTGCTAGCTTGAGATTCCGTTTCTAACGACGAGAAGTCTACCGAATCATCTAAGCTGATATGAAATTCAGTTTCAGAGATGTTGCGCGGACCAACTGCGGCAAAATTTTCGTTTAGCTCCTTGTCTTGTAAATTTAATGACTGTACTTTGTGCAATACATCAGTGTGTTGTGGCTAATAAAGTTAAGTTAGCATAACCAAAAGACGATTATTACCCACCGCTTACTTTCTTATCCTGTCCAGTCGTTGGAGGTGACTTCGTCTCTGACGTCACCTCTTTCTGAAACGGTAAAATCATTTAATATTAAAAGTATAGAACATTCAGAGGGGACAACCTTTTACAATGCAGAGAATTAGCAGGAAAGGATATTTCGATGACGACTACAAACACACCGCAAAATATTATCAGCAGTGGCAGGAAAACGACATAATGAATGGATGTTAAGATTTCGCTGTGTTCCCTACGACAAATGGTCAAATACTCTGCCGTTTGACTTCCTTATACTAAACAGACACGCCACATTTCTTGGAAAATTCTGCCATGGTTTGGTTATCGTTACCTCAAGAACTACCTTTTTTAAGCATGATAAATATTACCCTAAATACACCATGCACTACTTAACACTGGCGCATAATTCCTTAGTTTGAATATTATTCACGGCGATGTAGAACCTGAGGTTAGATTTACAGCGCACACAAAAATATTTTAGCTGCTTTGATATGCAAAAAGGCTCGTGACTGCTCTTCGTTACCAAAACCCACCTTCGGGTTTATCGGTTACTAAAGTGAAGGAAGACCTTAGGGCGATTACCAGCTTCAGAGTTAAATAAATGACCAGTCAGCTGAATTCAACGTTTACACGTTTGGTAAAGTACGCTAAACAAAGACAGGAATAATAATCTTACTAATTGGTCTTCGAATGGAACTTAAGTTGCATTGATATTCAATTCAAACGTTTCTTTAGAGAAAATAGTGAGACGCAGAAAGACAACGAAAAATGAATTTCAGAAATTTTGGAAGGGTTTTATGGAAGTACTCATGAAATTACTTTTGAACGTTGATAATTGCAGTCTCTCTGATATCTGAATAAAATATACTAAGTTGAATTTAATAAATAAAAATGAAATAGATCAATAAAACGCAGTAAAAATAGTTTGCGCACTTCCAAGCATCAGCGAATTACCGCGTGTTGACAAGGATTGCGTAAACCAGTAAATTTTAAGCAAATTTTTTTTCACTCAATATTCGCATAAACGCAGCTCAACTCTGCACGTTATTACCGAAGCAAGGATACTCCCGGGAAAATACGTCCTCGGCAATATGTTTTCCACCCAGCTATGAAGTATGCTTCGCCATACTAAGCTGATATTGAAGTCTTCTGACTCTTGCTTTAGAAACAGAGTACATGTTATTAAAACTTATGTGCCTAAACTCAGCCGTTAGTTTCGACAAGACGAGAGCTTTTTCAAATAACAAATAAAAAGGAGGTAACAGCAGATATAGCATTAACAGACGCTGCATTAACTACCAGTATGAAACAAGTATTCTAAGCATTATATTTAAAGCAATATGCTGTGAGCATGAATAACTATGGCTGTGAGTCAGGAAGAACGCAGCACTGTACACCTGCTGTTCGTGACCAGCAGATTTTGCTGCTAAATTTTAAGCAACAAAAATTCAGTAATAGAGCAACTCACGACCTCCTGCATCAACTTCAGCTCTTCTTCTTTCTTTGCTGCCATTATCATTTCGAGCTTCATGTTCTAAGTAGAAAACAATGTAAAATTTAGTTGCAAATATACGTTAAACAAATTAAACACAAAGCTGCTGCAAACTCTGAGCGACATTGGGTCGATGGCAACGAACAAACGGTTTTAAAACGTATAAGCCCAGAAAACAGTAAAACGATTTCTTTTTATTTGCTCTTATGTGATGGAGAACATCGTGTAAGCGTTCTGATAGTCGCAAAGTGGTAAACATTTTACGATTTTCTGGGTTTATCTACCATTCCATAACTTCTTTATTTGTTCATAACCGCTCTGCTGTGATATTTGAAATTCAAAATGCCAATCACTAAACTGCACAGACTAAATGAATACACTATCTTTCAAAATATATATTACTCTGGTTTGGATATTTGCTAGAACAAAATCACAGCCATATTTGTTTTGCGAAAGTAATGATATACCGGTTGTTCAAAAATCATTAGAAACGAGCTCAGCAAACACATGATGCCATATATAATGAACAAATTAATGAACATGTTCAATCATTAGTGAATCGCATCTCACAGCCTCTGAAACAAAGAGACCAATTAACATGCAGGCTCCACAAGACACTTAACTTCTTTGAACTCTCTTACATTCTATTACTGGACACATGCCACAGTCACTGCTTTTCTTGGGCGGATAACGAATAACTTCAAGACGATATCCGGGTTTACGAAATTTATTCCGAGGTTAGGCAGAATGCCACTAAACGACGTAGCATTGCAGACTGTACAACCACGGATCGCATACTGAGTTTGTATAGGAAACAACACAGTGAAAAACATCCCACGTATAAATGACAGTCTCTCAGAGTGCTTTACCAATATTATGTCAGCATGATCCACTCCATGAACATTTCTCTGAAGATAGTGCCTATTCGTAATTCAATAATATCATCCTAAACAGGAGCTTTCAATGACGCTCAGGCCATTAAGCAGCGCTATTCTATTATGCTGAGTGCAATAGTTTTGTATTTATGCAATTGCATTCTTATGCGTTAGTCATTGTGCCATTTGTTGCACTATGTTATTATTCCTGTTTTATGTCTTTTATTTATTCATCACGTAATGCTAAAAAGCATCTTTCATATAATGTCACTTTGTACGCTGAAAAACGTTTTAGAGGGGATGCTAATGAAGCTCAAAACTTTTACCCTCCATATGAATGAAACGTAGACATAAACAGAAAAATTTAACCTTGAGAAAGACAGTCCATGACGATTTGGCGCCGACCGACAGCCGTTATCGACATGCAATTTTGTGGTACGCGCGTTTGATTCTGTATGATTGATTTGTGGACATCTGGATCAACTGTAATATCTATCCTACCATGTTACATATCCATGCGAATCTCTCGGTGAGCCTCAGTGTTAAACTTCTTTCAAATTAATAATGATGTGATATATTGTATACAAAATTTTGCTACAGAACTAAAGTTACTTCATATATCAGCTCGTTGTTCTTGCATAAAAATTATACTTAAAACTAAATTATATTAGCAAATTTGAGTTTTATGAAATAATTAGGAGACGCAATTATCCGTTTCAACTGGACTTGGGAAAGAAACAATGAATAAAAATGTTCTCAGACGTCGTAATGACCTTGCGCAGTTATGGAATCATGATATGAAACAGAAATATTGGAAATTCATAAATTTAACAATAGATTCGCATTGTTCGCTCAGTGAGTTTTTCACGTACAACATGATAATATAGGTCGCAAAGGCATCAAGTTAGGCATTGCTCAACTTGAAATTAATGAACTCACTTACTTCCACCGTCATAAAACAAAACTACAGTTTACTAATATGGCAGATGATTAGTACTACTGAAAGTTATTTATTAATATGTAAATAATAAAACTTAGCATTGTGCTCACGGCGAAGTTCTCATGGATATGTAACACGGTGGGTGTGATG